CCACCTGCAGCCTGAACTACTGACACAAGGCAGATGGATCCATTCTTTCATGTTGTTTATGCTAAATTCTAACTCTCCCAGCAGAAATCAAAACTCCTCAGACCAGCCAATGTTTTTGATGAACCGTTTAGCCATTCTCCTCTGAGCTCTGGCATCAACAAGGCATTTTCACCCAGAGAACTGCCTGCTTACTGGGTATTTTCTCTTTTTCAGACCATTATCTATAAACCCTAGAGATGGTTTATGGAAAATCCCAGTAGATCAGCAGTTTATGAAATACTCAGAGCCATCTGGCACCAAGAATCATGCCACGTTCAAAGCCACTAAATCACCTTTCTTCCCTGTTCTGATGCTGGGTTTGAACTTCAGCAGGTCGTCTTGACCAAGTCTGCAGGCCTAAATGGCTTCAGCATCTGCCGTGTGATTGGTTGATCAAATATCTGTGCTAATGAGCAGCTGAAAAGGTGTCCCTAATAAAGAGGTCAGTGATTGTATTTTATCCAGTGACGAAAGCGTATTGATTACTGTTCATTTCATTCTAGTTTCTTTGCTTTATTTAATCTGTCCTTAATTTTTAATGCCATATTAAATTGAATTGCATTCATTTAACTGGTCTTTTCATTTTTAATTGTTTATCACTGCACATTATTTGCTTTGTTCTTGCTCTGTCTTTTCAGGCTTGTCATTCTTCATCTGTGAAGAACTTTGTATTGCACTAATATGCATACAAGGTGCAATGCAAATGTGATTAACTGGCTGATTGCTAAAGAAATAACATTTTCAATGAGGCTGTGATTTATGAAACTCCATACTACGGTGCTGTTTTACATGATAATGCACTATGTTTTTGGTTCTAGGCTAACAAAAAGCCCTGCACTCTAACATGGCAAAGACACACACACACATTTCGTGATTCACACTGTTAACATGAGCGAAGCTAATGCTGTGTTATGGATTCATATTACAGGCATGATCAGGTAGTCTGTGCTGTAACTCAAAGGTTACAGAGACAGGAAAAATCCTGACATCTCAGCTCTTTAAAGTGGGTTTAATAACAATAAATATCAGCAGCCTTCACTGGATTTTGCCTCACCGACATGACATCCATTAGCTCCGAGGCTGTGCATTCAGAAATGGATGCGAATGAATCTGCACACAGGGAGGCCTGTCCACCTCTTCACTTAGTCAGTGACTCATGCGGAGGTCACTTTCATACACAGTATTACAAGAAATACCATCTGATCTATCAGTTTCAATAAATTGGGTCTGTGCTGAATTTTAAGGCTGCATATGCCTGCCTTTGACTGATGAAGCCGAGGGGCTTTTCTCATTTCTTTATTTTATGCCCCCTTGGCTGTTCCGTCCTCCTGTTGCGTGAACTGAAATCAATCTTAGTGCGCCATCTTGAAGGATGTCTCAATTCTCGAAAATGCATTTGGACGGGAGAGGAGACTGGGGGCTTGAGAGGAGCTGTGACTGAGGATGCTGGTGTATCTTGAAGGAATGAGGCATGACGATGTTGTATAAAAATGTAAATTTTATGAGGTAAACATTATTCTTTAGAAAATTTCCATCAGGCTATTGCAAAGAGGGTTAGTTAATTTAACCTAAATTGATCTAGGTTAGAGTTAACCAAGGTTAGTGTTGGATTACAATCAATCAATCAATTGATTATAGAGAATCCTGTTATGTTAAAAAGCACACCTGTCCACAGAATCTATTTCTTCCATTCCAACCTCTTCACCACCAAAGAGCTGTCAAAGGACAAGATTAGACCTGCACAAGGCTGGAATGGGCTACAAGACCATCAGCGAGACGCTTGATGGCAAGAAGGTGCCAACTGTTGGTGCGATTATTCAGAAAGAACCGAGCTATTTGGTATCAACTTGACGTGCCGTGTCTGGGGAAGAGAAATGCTGAGCATCACCCAAAGAATTTCATCCCCATAGTCAAGCAAAGAGGTGGAAGCATCGTGCTTTAGAACAGTTTTTCTGCTAAGGGTACCGGAAGCCTTCAAGGCATTGAGGCACCAATCAGCGGGACCATGTGACGTAAAGATTTGGAA